ATGTCCATTTTCACTTCTGACCCATATCAGCCCCCGGTTATATAAAAAAGTGGGATTGGGTGCGGATTGTGGCTCTTTCTAGCAACTGGGCCAGGAAGAGAGAACCAGCAAAAGCAAAGTGTGTCACTCTGTCACAGATATTTGACAGTGTCACGTGTGTGAAGTGTGAACACGATGGTGTCAACGAGGACGGTCCGAAACGCCTCTCCCGCGTGAGTAATGGCCCTGGGGGAGCATCGTTGTTGACATGGTGCGGACAGGGTTTCGCAGAACTGCATTGTCCGAAAGAGGACGCCTGGCCTCGATTTTGGCCTCCCTCTTCTCCTTTCCCATGACCACAACATATGTTAAAAAAAAGGGGAGAAGAAAAACCCAAAGGGCACATATACAAAACAGAGCACTGGCGTGAGCAGTGCTCTGTTTAAGGGGCCGAGACCCTCCCTCCTCCCTCCCCCCTCCCCCCTCCACGGCTCGCTCCACTGCTCACGGTTTTTACGAGGGGCACGAAGCGAAGGGGGAGCGCGGACTATCTCCAGCTCATAGCTACGCCGATTTGTTCTGTTTGGCTTTTTGGAAGAATCCCGCTCTGTGCAGAAGACGCTCTGTTTTGGGGGCCTATTACCGACTTTCACCCGAATGTCTGTGATTATTGACAACTCAGGACTGCGATGTTCTCGGAAGTGGTCCGTAGATGCCCCTCCCTATGCTTTTTTTTTTTTTTCAGCTGGGCGCGGCTGGTTGCAAGCCAGGCAATGAATCGAGTGGAGAACTTATTCTTTTTTGTATTCATTGCTGAAGGATGCAAAAGGAAACGAAAGTGCGTGGATTTTATTTTTAGGATTGCTTTCGGTTTCTCCGCTTGCTAGGAAGTTATGGCTCGACGTCATCCCATCCCCCGTACCCGAGAGAGCTGGGGAAGGGGGGGGGGGGGGGGGGAGGGGGGCTTTCTGGCTTGGGGGGCAACTGCTCCTTTTGCACCCCCTTGCCGACGCCCATCCGAAAGTACACAGACACTTATATGTCGTATTTGAAAAAAAAAAAAATAATACTAATAATAATTACTGCTCTCGTTGTGGGAGGACGCTGTTGTTGCCTCACTTGACGTTTAGCTGAAAAACACTGAGCTGTGTTACGGCCGACCCGTGCTACATGCATTTTGGACGCCATTGAGAATCGGTAGGTACGGCATTGCGCGTCTATAATTCCGTTTTAATCGACATTATATTTTTGTTTTCTTACGGATCCCTGATGTTTTCTGCTGGTTCTATATTCAAAAAGTTCATCCTCTTATTCACCGATGTCTCAACCAAGAAAAGACATGTGTCCAGAGCTAATAGACTGATATACAAGCATAATCTATAATTTAATTGTTAGGTGTAATTACCGTATCTTGCTATTTTCCCTGTACCACCATTTAGCGATATTTGCCGACTAAAATATATTTATATAATATATTCACATGCATTGATTTTATTCGAGATTTATTTATCTGCATTATTATTATTATTTTTTTTTTTTTGCGATTTTGACAGCATTGAACTGGCTGTAGCAGCGAAGCTCTGAGCTTTCACCGGGTCAGAGAGCTGTTCCATTTTTCTCAAGAAGCACGCAATGCAGTGCGTCACGTATTCGTGAATGCCTCAATTGAAAGGGGTGTTCAGTGCGGCGGCAGACATCTTCACTTAGAAACGAGGAAAAGACGTCCGACGAGACTTTGGAGAACGGTAATTAGTTACAATTTAGCCTAGTGTAATTGTAAATGTCATTCCTCACTTATTTTTAGTTAGGTTTACCAAGTCTGATTGCAAGCATAGCGCCCCGATCGGTGCCCTGTGAGTGCAAGCACGTGCAACTTGCGCATGCATACACAGCTCTGGCTAAAGACGATTGCAAGCTGGGCGACCTGGCCGCCGCCATGTCTCTGCTCGAGCAGGCACGCCCGTGCGATTACGAGCTTGCCAAAGCTACGTTCACCCGCGCGTTGCACGCGCTTGCACGCATGGGGCACCACTTGTGGCGCCATGCTTGCAATTGTCTATAGCTTGCAATTGCACGGGCTTGTCCGCAGGAGCAAAGACATGGCGGCGGCCAGTCGCCTTTCTTGCAATCGTCTATACTTCCTAAAAATTAAGAGGATATTCTGTTCGTTTATTTAGTGTTCCATCTACAGTTTTCCACAATTTCACACATAGTGACGTGTCTGGATGCATGGGTTGCCCGGTCGGCGCACGCTTTACGGTTGCGAGACATCTGCAAGCGAAGGCTGTTCTCTCTTGGCGTTCAGTGATCCCGCGGGAAGTCGCGGAAGCTAAAACACCGCCCATGCAAGATGCATTCGCATAGTGCTGGCGTCCCTGACAACTCATCAAAAGCGGCTGCCGCGCTATGTCCGGCATTATGACACGAGGTCAAGAGAAAAAATAAGTTAAATTTTCGATCTGCGAATTTCAAAGGTGGCTTTGGAATTCACAAAATTCCAAAAGAACCTTTGGAAGAATTATGACAGCACATCACGTATAGCGCTTCACTACGCCACAACGTTGCATATCATTCAGACTTCTTAAACGTCAAGGGTGCCTTTTTTTAGAAGCTCCAACGAATCGCTCCTCTGAACCTTCGAAATTCTTGGCTCTTGGCAGGAGAATTCAAGTACCAACTGGAAGACGCGAAACCAGCGGTAGTAATTCGCAGAACCCGAATACTGTCCGAGGATTCTCGAAGCCTCCAAGGGAATCAATGATTTCAAGGTGCGAGTTCGTCCTCACCTGGCGCCACTGATAACGACCTTATTAGATCGTTAATGCTCCTTCTTTCTCCCTCTTATATTCTCCTGATTGTCAAAGGGTGTGGTGGCGTTTGGCGACTGCGAGGGCTGCACTCCGTACGAGGAACTGTCCAGTGAAAGCCAACCACAGGCGACTCTCAAGGACCCCGTGCTGGAACCAAAGGAAGCGGTGATGGTGATCACCTACTCGGAGGCACCACCGGCCCGCCGAAGGGCGTCATGCTCACCCACTACAATTTCGTTGCCACACAGATCATGTGGGATGCGTACGTCCCATTCATAATTACAGAACGAAAGACAAAGCTGGTATACCTGATGTTCTTCCGTGGGTGTACGTTGCCAGAAGATAAAGCGAGGTCAGAAAAGAAATACAAAAATTAATATTTTCATTATGGTTAGGCTCGAAAGAGAAAGAGCCGGACCGCCATTAAGAGTTCAACATATCCTATAGGCCCGTCTTTCTGTCTTTGTATCGATTAAAGTATAACTCGTTTAAAAAGATACTGAACCGAAATTTCGAGCTCACTAAACAAGGCCGGGCGGATAGGCGGGAAGCTGCAAAACCAAAAAATATCACTCATACGGCGATTTATCTAACGAATCGCCGTATTTTTTGGTAACGAAGTGCGCGATTGAACCCGGCCGACGAGGCCGACGAGACAATTAAGGCACGTCACGACTCCCATTCTCTCTCCTCCTCGCTACGTCCCGTCAAGCTGGTGAACCGAAGTGAGGAGGAGAGAAGCGCGGCCGCTTCTCCTCATTCTCAAATTCTCCCGGAGGACAGTTACGTCAAAGAACTCGCTTGATCGTTGCTTGATCGCACCCTTCTTTTCCAAAAGTACGGCCATCCGTTTGAGATATCGATGTACGAGTGATGTTTTGGAGTTCGTAGCTTCCCTTCAACACTTCTGCAGCCTTACTTTGCGAAATCCAAATTTCGGTTCAGTATCCCTTTAAACACCCTTCTTGAATGTGTTCCCACAGAAAAAAAAAAAAGAAAAAAAAAAGTAGTTAGACGGATATTCACTTCTTAACATTTCTATGTATGAAGTTCTTGAAAATCACAAAAAAAAAAAAAAAAAAGTACGCAAGATTCGATTGAAAAAAAGTTCGTTAACTTCTTTGTAATGTTTTGTAATGCTTCGTTTTTGGTCAACTATCTCCAGCAACGGATCTCCTTCCTAAAAGTCCCAGTGCGGATTTAACCCACAGCACTGGACATCCGCAGGTGGACGTCCACACTGGCGGTGGCCAATGCCAAGGTGGCTAGGCCAGTGACGCTCGACTGGATGCCCCCTGTGCATTTGTCCGGCATTGTCACAGTGCTCGGTAACTGCCTCAGAGGCTGCACTACCGTGCTGCTTTCCTCAACGAAGCCTGAAGACATCTTCGCGGCAGTCGAAAAGTACAGGGTGAGAGCTCTATAGTTCCTATTAGCCAACTGTTTCATGATATCCGTCAAGTCGTTAGACCTTAGATTAATACCAAATAACAAAGCAGCAAAGTCGAATTCCATCAGTGGAAAGTGAAGTTTTCTGGGTACGCAGATCACGCACATGCCCTTGATGCCCACGAGGCTGATGATGCTGAGCAACAGTCCCTTGGCCGAGAATTACAATCTCACCAGCTGGACCAGTGCCGGACTGGGTGGAGGTGTCGTGCCGGCTTCCATCATTGAGGACTTTCGGCGGAAGTTCAACCTGGAGACTATCTACTTCGGTGAGGCACCGCCACATATTTACAGTTCATCAGAAAAGTCACCCGACTGTTATATATATATATATATATATATATATATATATATATATATATATATATATATATATATATATATATATATATATATATATATATATAGTTTTTTTAAAGCTTTAGATATTTGTTTAAAAAAAGCCGTGAAATTTATACTTATGCGGTTTGTGGAGGTGAGACCGTGAGACTTTTTACGGCCAGGGGGACATTATGCAGGTGGCTAATTCTTGCGATAAGTCGGCTAATTAATTAAAATTCATGAATTAACTTTTGAATTAGTGAAAATAGACATATGGTTCCAATTAAAAACTTACCGAGGTTGATAAAAAAACACTAAATTAACTCTTTTTAGAACGACTTGAAGCTCGTGGGAAACTCGGGGGGCGCACCAAAATTACCACTCGTGCAGCAGGCGCAAAGCCAGCACCTAATCATCCGCGTTCTGCAACCGCTAGCCTTCTGCCTGCTCCACGAGTGTTAACATTGGTTCACTACTACGCTTCTCACGTGCTCAAAGTCTTTCTGAAAATTACTGATTTAGTGGTTTTCGATGACGTTTAGCAAGTTTCTAATGGGAACCATGTCTATTTTCACTAATTTTAATTAATTAGCCGACTGATCGTTACGATTAGCACCTATACTATGTCCCCCGGGACGTGTAACTCACCTGCACAAACCGCAGAAGTGTAACTCTTACGGCTTATATATATATATATATATATATATATATATATATATATATATATATATATATATATATATATATATATAATCATTTTTATGCCATGTTGCGGCAGCAGACTGAGTGGGAGAGAGAATGCGCTAGAAATGCGGGCAAGCGGACAAATTAGTCCCAAAATAACCAGAGACTTTCGAAAACAAACATAACTCTCGTGTCTTCAAATATCGCGAGTGAAGCAACAACAGCAAAACACGTAAAATATTGAGGAAAGATCTGTGCGTGCGCGGATCATTTAATATAGCGACCGCGAAAGAGAGCACATTTTGCGTCATTTTGTACAGTATCGGGGAACTGCAGGTCTTTTACCCAGAATTCGCATTCTAGAGGGGTGAACATTTTTGTGCGTGTGTGTGTGTGTGGGGGGGGGGGGGGGGGGGGGTGGGGGGGGTGAGAGCATAGGTATGCGTACATTGTGTAAACATGTAAACATTATGGGGAAAGAGGGGAGGGGGGGGGGGGTCGGACTCAGTCTGGGAAAGGGGTATATCTCTTCCCTCGCTACAGGATACTCCATGACCGAGCTGACCGGTTTCATGACGATGCCCACCACCAACCCCGACTCCATAGGATCTCCATTTCCCATGACAGAAATAAAGGTACTCCAATTCCCTAAGCAATGAAAAGAACAGTTGGCACCGTACCACTCTTCTTTTCCTCAACTTCACAACGTGCAGCTCATTCCACGGAATGAACTGCACAATTTCTGAAAATGGCGCATTCTGTCCAGATTGTCGATCCTCAAAGCAAAGAGCCACTGGGACCCAACGAAGACGGCGAAATTTGTGCCAGGGGACCTCAGGTCATGAAAGGCTATCTCAACAACAAGGAGGCCACGTCAAAGACAATAGACTCCGAGGGATGGCTACATACGGGTAAAGGGTTTACCGACAGCTGTGTCTTGTGACTGAGCTGTGTGTGGCTGACTTCTAAAATTACCTACAATCCTTGATCGTTGTACATGATGGGGAAAAACAGCTCAGAAAACACGGACTACGAAGAAGAACAAACAGACAATGCTGTCCTGTCGTGTTCGTTCTTCTTCGTAGTCTGTGTTTTCTGAGCTGTTTTCCCCATCATGTATAAGTCAACCAACTGTCCCAGTTCACCACCTTATTATCCTTGATCGATTTTTTTTTTACAAGGGCATAAAACATAAAGAAACCAAAGCAAATGGCTGTACACATTTCTAAACTTTTTTTTTTAAGTTTGCTATTGGCATTTAGGACATATTCAAGATTTCTGATAAAGGTGGAAGTTTCAAGAATTCCCACGGCGACCATTCTATTTTTAGTCCACCAGGAAATGTAAAATTAAATTACGGACAAATGTGATCATGTTCGTCTTGGAGCACTCTTGAGTTTATTCCGTGAACAGAAGGGATTTTCAGTTCCTACAGAGGAACTGAAGCTCCCTCGCTGGTTTTCTCCCTTTAAAAAAGAAAAAAAAAATTCTTTCGTACGTGTCACACAGAAGCGTAACATGCTGGAGGTTGCTCAGGCCGCCCAAAAGCTGCCTTTACGTCGTCTTTGCTCATCCAGAGGAGCTAAGCCCTAAAAGTAAACTAATAATATACTACTTCTTGAAAAAAAAACAAAAAAAAAAAATTACGATTTATGTCAAACGCAGCTCCGGAGAGGATCTGAGCCTGTCCTACAAACTTGCATAACTACAACTCTATGGGTTTTTTTATTTATTTTTTTATTTTTTATATTGCGAAGTAGGTTATTACAGAAACGTTCACCTAAGTTATTTCTTTTTGTTTTTCGACCAATGCGCATGCATGCCCCCTCCCCCCCCCTTTCCCCTCCCTGCAAGAATGCCACTGCACTGAGGCGAAGCGAGAGACACGCAGGAATCTATTGCGATACGCGCGCCTCTCGCGGCGACGTCGCGCGTACTCATCGGCAAGCGACCTCGCAGTCGCCGCTCGACTGCAGTGGAACACCGGTGGGTGTTGCAAGGTCCGGCATGCCTGTTTGGGCTACCACAGTGGCGGAAGCGCGGGAGCGGCGGTGGAGCTCTACCACTCTCCCTACGCTGACTCAAAAGTGGCCGCGCGCGGCGCTGTTCGCTGGGCGATCGCAGAGCCGTATATTGGGAGAGTTTGGCCAGTGGGTGTGGTGACGAAGGCGCCGGAGAGGAGAAAAGTAAATGAAAGGGAGGAGAGCTCCGAAGGAGCGAGAGAGAAAGAAGGGAGCAGAGAGGAGACGACCGCCATTTTTTAGCAACGCTGTCGGAGAAGAGCACTGCTGAGGCTACGCGTCGTCTGCTACGGGCCGACTTCGTTTTCGCCTGAATAAAAGTTTGTGGCCAAACGCCGAAAAATCTTTGTTTATTAGCCTTTTAACCCACCGAGGAATAACAGAATGTCATTTTCTTGCCAGAGCCAGCGATATAAAAGGCAATAATCGAAATTTAGATGCCGATCCCACGCATTCCGCCGGGAAAATGATCGAAGATGGCGGCCCTCCCCACTCAGGTGGGAGCAGCCGAGAGTTCACGTGCATGCGCTCATGCCTCTCGCTCTACGCCGCGTGCTGATTGGCTCACTTGGGAGGAGAGCGTTACGGCGGCGAGATCATAGACTGACCAAACTCTCCCCATATACGGCCCTGGGCGATCGCAGAACCGTATTTGGGGAGAGTTTGGTCCAGTCTATGATCTTGCCGCCGTAACGCTCTCCTCCCAAGTGAGCCAATCAGCACGCGGCGTAGGGCATGAGCGCATGCGCGTGAACTCCCGGCTGGTCCCACCTGAGTGGGGAGGGCCGCCATCTTCGATCATTCTCCCGGCGGAATGCGTGGGATCGGCATCTAAATCTCGATTATTGCCTTTTATATTGCTGGCTCTGGCAAGAAAATGACATTCTGCTATTCCTCGGTGGGTTAAAAAGCTAATAAATGAAGATTTTTCGGCGTATGGCCACAAACTTTTATTCAGGCGAAAAAGAAGTCGGCCCGTAGCAGACGACGTGCAGCCTCAGCAGTGCTGTTCTCAGACCAGTCTCCGACTGCGTTGCTAAAAAATGGCGGTCGTCTCCTCTCTGCTCCCTTCTTTCTCTCTCGCTCCTTCAGCGCTCTCCTCCCTTTCATTTACTTTTCTCCTCTCCGGCGCCTTCGTCGCCACTCGATGGCATTTCCCGCTCGTTTTCCCTGACTGGGCTCGCTTTTTGACAATACCCCCGACTATTCCCGGTAATTAAAATCTCCCTGACAATTTCCGGTTTTCCCGGTCGCTAGACCACCCTGATCATCAACCAATACAAAGTTTCAATTCTCTGCACACTGCCTCCGCCAGGGCTCCACACACCACGTTACAACCAATCCCAGTTCACATCAATACACCGCATTAATCGCGATATCAGTCTCGGATCTCAGAAACTTCGGCTGGTGGGCCCGACAAACGAAAACATGTTGATCCCAATACAAACAATACATGTATGGAGGAAATTTGTTGATCCATTTCGCTTCGGCCAGTCCGATAACCACTCAAAACTCCGACCGTATTACCCATTTTTCTTATCATGCAAATTCTCGACTCAATTACCGAATTTTTCGGACTCTAGTCTGCACCCGGTGTATAGGCCGCGGGGGCAAATTTGGGGTCAAAAATGGAAGCGTTGCCTAGATGGTCTGCACGCCATGTATAGACCGCACTTACTACCTAATCACAACGTAAAAAGTTATCATACACAGCACACCAGACAAATGTCTGCTGCATTGGTTCACAAAGAAACTTGTATCGTAAGCAAATCAACATTAATATAATCTATCATTTACAAAATTCGTCACGCCTCATCATAATGAACAATCTTGACGAACAAAACTCACACATGGAGAATAAGATATGTCGATGATGATCATCCTCTAACGGCAGGGGAACTAAACCGATTCTCCCCATGTGCAGGCGATGTCGGCCACTTCGACGAGGATGGCAACGTCTGTGTGGTGGAACGCATCAAGGACCTGATTCGCTGTATCGATATTCACGTGGTTCCCGCCGAGCTGGAAGAAGTCCTACTAAGTCATCCCAGCGTAGCGGAAGCCGTGGTGGTGGGCGTTCCTCACAGGGAATTCGGGGAGGCGCCCCGGGCTTTTGTGATACTGGCCGAGGATTCATGCTTACCAGACTGCGACAACGATTCCCTCGTCGAAGAAATGCTCCTTCACGTTGCCGGTACGCTTATCACACACACACAAAAAAAAAAAAAAAAGAACACCTAGGGAAGAATTTTGCAAATTAAAGTCATATATGACTACCATATAATAGAGTGTTCTAAACAAAAGCAGTTCGGAAGTCTAGTCTGGAAGCTACACTATGATGGTCCCTCTCATGTAAATCAAAATAACTATGAAAGAAAACCAAAATGGTATTTGGCCATAAACACAAGCTTCTCTCGTTTGTCGATGTGACTCGAGTGATGGAGGAAGAAAAATTGCTCGCGACTGATGAAACCTTACACCCTTTTCTGCCTAGTTTTACAATCCCGCTGACACTCTTATTCTATTACTTTCAGAGCAAGTCGAGTACGCAAAACAGTTGCACGGAGGGCTCGAATTCGTGAAGGACCTGCCGAAGTCCCCTGCTGGTCAATACCTACGCCGGGAACTGCGTTCGACATACTTAAAGAAAAGTTCTGCGCCCTTTTCAAACTGACTGGACCAGTCGACATCACTTCAAATCTCCACACAACAGAATTATTTCGTTAAAGTGGATGCATTCATTTTTCTCACATGTAAAAGGATACCAGAACATTACGATTTCCAGCCTCGTCAGAAATAAAATTTCTTGGGTTTGACCGTAATACGACTTCAATGAGTAGGTGAAGTAACACAGAAGTTTTTCACACACTTTATTGAAATAAAGAGTTCAATAAAAATTTCAAAGTTTGTAGAAGTGTTCGTAAGATTACTGTAATTAGAAAGCCAACAAATACATTTTAACATGCAGATCTTTTTATAGATTTCTTTTTTCAGCATGACTGGGCATAAATTGCACAGTATTACAGAGTAGGAAGCTGCACATTCGCCCACCCAAATAGTTGCCTTTGTGCAACTTCTGTGAGAGGAATACCGAAGCAAAAAAATAAATAAATAAATAAAGTACATTTGGGTCGCAGGTCGAAAGTATGCTCTATGTCATGCCGACTAGCAAACGGTCATTTCTCTCCCAAAACGAACTTCGAACTCACTTCGTTTGTGGGCCATTCTGCAAAAAGGAACTACCCAGCTGGTTCATTGTGCAGAAGGCATTTTCTTGATCCAAGTAAAATATATTTAATTGCGAAGTGCCTTCTGTAGCGCCCAGGCTTGAATGAGTTACATAAGCTGCTGAACTATAAACCTAAAGCGGGTTCAGGTATGCTCAATATTTTTATGTACCCGATTTGAGGGTGATATTTTATCTTCCACAAGTTTTGACTCGGAAATAATCCACATCACTTTAAGAGCATTGTTTCGAGCAACAGCTAATAAATGTGTTCAGCAACATGCTCAAACTCGATCAGTTTTCTCACGTATCTAGGTAGGGAGACCTCTTCAGTTACAGCTTACGAAAGCAATGCCATGCAATAACCAACATCAAGGAGTCGGTATCACAAGAAAAACTGTCACGAAAGCGAAGTACTGAAATGTGCGATTCATCTTCTATGCTTTCCTTTGTCTTCTACTCTTTAATCCGTTAGAATTAGTGCCCTGGTACATGCGCTGACCTTGGGACTATACAGCTTCACTGGCTGTGGAAACTGGCCAGGACACAACTTCTACAAGCGCCGACAGATGGCGGCGAGGTGCGTATTTCGAGGCTTGGCGATAGGACGCGTAGCAACTAGGGGTGTCGCGAACTTTTGTCAAACCAGATTTTTTGGTCGAACTTTCGGGGTTCGACTGGGTCGAACCGGTTCGACGAACCTTCGAACTTTTCACCAGATTCGACCGGTTCGACTTTGTGGACAGTGTGGCCAGACCTAGATGCAAGCATGTCTAGGTTTGGAGAATTTTTTTTCATAAAAAGGGTTATCTTATAGTGTGAACAGTTGTAATTAAAGGAAATTAATTCTGATTACTGAAGAAGTTTATGACTTAATTTTTAATACTGTATTAACTGAAATAGCCAATCAGCGCTGCACTTAATTCATCTCTTAGCCATTATCATCCAATCCGAAGCCAACTGGCCAGCCTGTCGCGCATGCGCACACGAGTCGAACCTCAATAGAAGGTTCGTTGAACTTTCCACTAAAAGTTCGAAAAAGTCGAACCTGGTCGAACTCGAACCGCGGCCGGTTCGCGACACCCCGAGTAGCAACGGTAACAGCACTGAATAGACCCTTTCCAAAATTCAGTGCCATCTGGTGGCTGAAATGGCGGTTTAACTTTTGCCATACGAATGGCGGCAATGAACTTGTAGCCTGCAGTATTTTATCGGGCACCTTCACTTTTGCATGTCAACGGCAGACGAGAATAAACTTTTCGCTATACAGGTTTTTCTGGATCATCTCTTCCAGTGTCGATTCCCACAACGATGCAACCAGTCAGAACGAAGCGCCAACCCAGACAGACGCGCCTTGATAAAGTTGTAAGAGTCAAGGGGTTTCGAAGTCGATTTTGTGCCACTAACAGGTTCACTGGGCTCGAATTAGAGAAATGAACACTTATGCAGCACTTGCATTCAATTCCGGTTTCGAAACGTGCTAACGTCTAGAATATATAGGTCTCGAATCCTCACCTTAGGAGTATCTTCAACATGTTCCTTCATCAGTAATTAGAAAGCCGCCATTGTTATGGCACATATGCCATTTTTCAGATGATGATGATGATAGTGATCACAGTGGCCAGACTGAATTTCGGAAAGGGGATGTCGTGACGCAACACCTAGCAACCGAAGATTGCCGGCGACGTCCCCCTTCGCCAATTCTCGGCGCTGCACAGTGGGGGGACATCACTGGGGCGCGCGTGATGCCCTTCTCTCCTCCTCACCCCCCGCCCCATAAAACATATATTTCACTCGGCTAAAAAAAAATTAAATGTACTTATAGATTGTTTGTCCGCATTCAGACGAAGTTTCATCGAACATTCTTGTCTTTCGTTGTAGTGGTTGCAAAGTGCAAACAAATAGATACCCCCAAAATTGAGTATTTAATCTTACAAGCTTAACTTCTAGTTAAAAGCCAGACCAGAGCAGAGAGCATAAGCACCAAAATCAACTCAAAAAGGCATGATAGCTGTGCAAAAAGTTAAGAAATTATTAAAAACCTACTTCTGCATTGCGTCACATGAGAGAGGAACCACCAGATGGGTAGAGGTGCCCCCTGTCTACCCCAAAAAAGTATGCCTGCTAAGTTTCCCAAATTTCCAATCACAAGAAATTTGAGCACAAGGCTAAGAAAACAATCTGAACTATACAAGTCAAATTTAAAAATGGACTTTTTAAGTTTGAGATTTTCTGCTTCGGTATTCCTTTAAGTAAACTGCAAGTAAAATGGACTGAGGCCATTGCAAGATTTTCTCAAATTTGCTAGGTCTCCATCCTTGCAAAATTAATATATCACAATAAAAAAGTAATTAGTGCTCATATAAGCGAATACAAATCATAGTAAACTTCTGTTCCCTAAAAAACAACTGCTATAGCTCAACAAAAAGAGCCCAGGCAGGCACACACTTTCAACCAAAAATCATTCGACAAAACAGTTAACACTCAATAACAGAAACAATTTCTGAATCAACAGCAGGAGTAGGTCAAGCCTAGAAACTTAATAAATTTGCATAAAAATAAAAACAAATAAAAATATTGGCACTTGAGTGTCACACATAAATTCTAGGCACTACTGGCTAAATGCAAGCGAAGAAAAAGCATCACAATTAAAGTCATGCTGGGCTAAATGTTTGGAATTGAATAAAGTGTACCTATACATTCAGCTACCATTTGCACAACAAATTATTCCATGGAGTAACTTGAGCAAACTTTAACAAAACCTTCTGAAGACAACAGCTAGAAAAAGAAACATGAGACAGCACTTCAATAAGCCGTAAAAAGGCAGACACTTGTCCTCTCCTTTCAATCGAGTAAAGTGAGGGCATCTTTTTAACAAGGAAATAGAGTACAAGCAACAGATAAAACACCAACTCTAAAAATATGGATTAAACATGCCACATATTTGCTCCCAAATGCTTGCCACAGCCAGACAGAATTGAAAGAATATTTACCTTGGTGCTTAAAAATGCTCAACATTGCAACCCTCATGAGAAATTAGATGCCGGGCCAACACTCACAGAAAGCATTGAACGCAAACCTTTCGGTGGACATCCACCTGGTTAGGAGTGGCAATTAATGTTAAAGGAAAACAACTCTAACCAAAAAATAATACGAAGCCCGACGTTTCAAGGCCAGTTCGGCCCCTTGTTCACGGGCGACTGTTTTCGTCCTTATCCTTTCCTTTTACATTAATACACAGAAAGCAGTATTATCAGATGTGTTCAAGAGAGTGGTGTGCTTGAGCAAATGTACAACTGTCTGCACAAGGAGTTGACCTCCGGGGAACAAAGATTCCAGCAACAAGTGACAGAGCAGTCCTGGAGGAATAAGACAAAAATTTACTGTAAAAAGAAATTGATGTACTATAGTTTAGTATGATGCATTTTAGTATTTTACACCTGGTATATTGTCTTAACAGAGTTTTCACCAAAAATACTCACCAGAACAGGTAATCGCGAGGCACCACAGGTACCCCGAAAGAAATAACTGAAACTGCAGATACAACCACCTAGAAGAATTTTCGATTGTTACATACAGTGGAGAAAAAAACTAAGCCAAAGTAAATTGTTTAAAAACTGCATATCACATTCCTTTCGTTTAATTGTTTTCTCTTGCAAGTTGGACGTTGAAATGTTACGAAACTATACCCAAACTCCTAACTACAGCCCTGATAGCAGGATTATGTTCCATTTTATCTTTCTTCACCTGCACAATGTCTAGAAAAAAACGAAGTTCCATAAATTTAGACTGCTCAGCTGCAAAGTTTGCCCCCAGAACCCAAACTTTGCATTTTGAAGCTCAGGTAAATGACCCTTGTCAATACTTAAACACCGGAAAGAATAAACACAAATTTAGGGAACTACAAAGTTATTATCAGCAAACATGCTATACTGTCGTGACCAATTATAACGAAGTCGGTTAAAACGAAATAGCAACTACAGCAAAGCTATCACGATTTCCCATTCCCTTTTGCACTTCGTTAAGCGAAGTCGGTTATAACGAAATAGCGGATATAGCGAAGTGATTTCCGATTCCCGTTGACTTCGTTATAACCGGTCTCGACAGTACAAGAACAAGGAAAGATGGTCGGTACTGAGTGCAGAATGTGTTCAACCAACCTTGATACATAATAAAAAACTTGGCGGTTGTTCTTTCCGGTGTTTAAGTATTGACCAACACGCTCGTTTTTTAATGTTAACCCTTGTCAAGTATACATTTTGTGCAAAAATCGGCCATTATGCACCAAAGCTGAGCCACTTGTATTTTAATACACCCGGTGGATCTCCTTTCATTTTACTCTTTATTATATGAAGGCCACAAAATGTTTTATTCAAATCCAAATTACTGCAAGCAAATACCTTGGCAAGGCCGGTAATGTTAAGGTTCACCAGCTCCAGATTTAGAACACTTGGGTACACCATGGCAAGAAAACAACCAAGTATCCCGCTGAAACAAACAGGTAGCACAAAAGTAAGACACTGATATAACTTACACACCATAACATTTCATAACATAGGTGACCAGACCTGGCAACAAATGTCCAGCAAAATGAAGGAGATGCAAGGTAGGGGTACCTCTGGACGGCATAAAAATCACCTGCAGGAGTAAAAACATGAAAGCCGAAGCTTCGTTGTAATGAAAAATGTACACATAAAGTCACAATCAACAAAATAAAAAGAAAGGAATCCAGAAAAAAAAATGAAGAAGCTTACCTAAAAAATAGCTTGTAGGCAAAAGCAAAAGAAAACTGGAAAAAAAAAAAGGCTTAGATGTACCTCTGAATTTAGGGAACTACAAAGTTATTATCAGCAAACATGCTATACCGTCGTGACCAATTATAACGAAGTCGGTTATAACGAAATAGCGACTACAGCAAAGCGATCACGATTTCCCATTCCCTTTTGCACTTCGTTAAGCGAAGTCGGTTATAACGAAATAGCGACTACAGCAAAGCGATCACGATTTCCCATTCCCTTTTGCACTTCGTTAAGTGAAGTCGGTTATAACGAAATAGCGGATATAGCGAAGTGATTTCCGATTCCCGTTGACTTCGTTATAACCGGTCTCGACAGTACAGGAACAAGGAAAGATGGTCGGTACTGAGTGCAGAATGTGTTCAACCAACCTTGATGCATAATAAAAAACTTGGCGGTTGAATGCACTGCAAAAAAAGCAAAAATGTTATCACCATGGCATCATCTACCTTCTGCCACCAAAGTAAAGCAACCTAAATAATAAGGGCATTACTCAGTCTTGGCACAATACGCAGAGATCTTCTCAACGGCAAAGATGACGCCTGAAATTGTAGAAAAAAAACATCTAAATGCAATAAAACGTAGGAAAATAGCTTGAGAAAAACCAAAACAAGAGGCTCCACTTACCTGTACAACAAATGTGTAGCAACATCCACCACATAGCATTGCCAAAACTCTGCAATTAATAATATATTAAAAAAACAAGTTTAAATTTCTTTGTGATAGAAATGGAATTTGCTTCATTAAACAGCATTAGCCAATTAAAAATGGTCTTTATATAACTCAATAGACAAAGATATAAACTACTACTGAACATTTTTATTTTGTAAAGGCAGAAGTTGGTCAGTGCCCTTTTAGCTTGGGATATTCAACTATGCCTCAAGCCACCAATGTCATAAAGTCTAGCACCAAGAGTATATTGAGAAACTGCATATTTACCCTAGGTACAGTAGTAACAAGCATTATGCTGCTCACAGCCACTGAAGTGAATGCGATGAGGTCCTTAGGACTGGAACTGAAGAAAATGCTCTGCAACAGTGATATCCATAAAACTGACGATGCTGAACTGTTTCATGCTTTGGTGAAATTGAACAGCCACTAATGCCAAACATTTGCTAACCTGCTTTCCCATGTCAAGATCTACACCACAGTGCACAAGAAGCAAGGCATTGTGTATGGCCAGGAAAACTGATATGGGCTGGGGGGGGAACACAAGCACATATCTCAATTAAGGTTCTGCTAATTTTATTGAGCTTAAAAATTAGCAGCTGGTCGCCGAAAAACTTACAAGCACAGTAAGGGCCCGTGAACCGGCATAGATGCTCATAGTGTAAAATGGAATGGTTTTCCAGTGATATTGTACTGTCACTCTATAAATAAGAAGTCAGAGCAAGATGAGTTGATAACCATCAAAACTACAGTATGATGAATCACTATCCCATACAACTTAAATTTTGCAGCAACTTCAATTATGTTTTTTTTTGTATTTCATCAATCAAAAACAATTGCAAAACATGTCAAGTGAATAAATTAGCACGACATGGGATCAATGAACCACTGACAAGTTACTCCCAAATGCAAAGTTTTATACTTGGAACACACCTACTGTAGACAATGTTATATTCACAAGCTTAGTATTTTACGAATGTGTCGAGTAGGTTGCTCCTTACGCCCCATATATATGGGTGATATATTCAGGGATCAATTCCTTTGCAACTGTTTTGTATATGCAAAATATGCTAAGCTTAAAATAGACATTGCAAAAAATGTTTGCATTATTATAAAATGTGCAATTTCGACAAATTTTGCAAATATTAACAGTGATGGAAGCGACATTTGACCTTTTGTAGCAGGTTCTGTAGCGGGCAAAACTTTGGTTTGAACAGTCACTGATGCTTTTGGAGCAGATGCCAACATCTCTTAGTACAACACTTGGAGATGAAAAAGTGATTGCACAGCTAAATCAGTTCATCTTTGATAATGACGGAGGGTTCCAGTTTGATCCTGCACCATATTACTTATTACCTTTCGTAATAAGAATGGGTAGGGTGCCAAAGGAACACAGAGAATTCTTCTTAGAAATGAGGCTCTAGCCAGAGAAGGTTCCATTTACAACGGGTACTAAAAAAGAGTAAAGTCTAAGTTTGCTGTTCTTTCGATCGACAGCTGCACAAGAACAACCTTGACTACAATTTATTCAAACATAGACCCGCATGTTTTTTCTCGGCACAGATTTTTAAAACTGGAAATCAACCTACCACCAAGACAAAAAAAAAAAGTAAACCTGGAATAGTACTGAGCATAATTACTGAGCCTACTGCGCTAACCCATACGCTCACCCATGTCAGCCGCAGCACCTAGCACTCCGGTGCAAAGCGGTGAAGCTCGACACGAGCGCGCTGGTGAGACGCAGCACGGAGGCAGGTGGCAGACATGATAATTAAGTTATCTCATCGAGAGCACAAGACCCTGGTTCTGTCTTACCACAGTAGCCGCCATCCTACAATTTGGCAATGTTTTCTGGCAACTTTTAGCTCCTCACATCGCTGACATTGTCTGGAAATTTAGACAATGTTGGCGATCAATCTACCAGTGCATCAACCAACCGGCGAAGTTGACGAGCAATCTTCATACTTTGTTTCATCTTTAACTTAAAGTGTAGCCGCTGCTACGAGCCAATGGGACCAGCCAGCATCAAAGCGTGACATTGTGGCATTCATCCATCTTCCTATGTATAGTCTTTCATCGACTAAACGAATCAAGTGCAGCGAATGTCCCGTGACTTGCGTTTTTAGTATATGTTTGTGGTTGTATGTGTTCGAGCCTTCGACTATGCTCTGACCTAAGATAAAACAAACTATACGGAGAGTATAAACGCTCTAAAATACATATTTGTACCATTTTCCTTTCCTCCTATTTGTCTCAGTATTAGAACTAATTCTCCTCTAACACCATAACTTCACCAGCACTCTCCACTTCCACGAGTAACCAATAATATTTTTTTCTGTTTTTGCTTTGCCCATTTAAGTACAGGTGTGGTGCAATTCTTAGCAGAAACGGCACTTTGGCACAAGATGTCGTAGACTTTATCAGAGTGCAATTTGGCACAAATGGCACAGCACTTCCATCACTGTATTAAGCCCATCGAATATATAGTCATTTACAATACATGCCCATTCTGAGAGTTATATTAGACAACTACCGCAGATGAACCCTGTTGCAGGCAAAATATGTATCATATGCTGTCTGAAAACCAACAATGCCTATAGAGGATAAAAGCACTAAAAAACAGGCAAGTGAAATAATGATGAACACCACATAGCACTCTGGTGTTCATGATCAGTCATCATAGACATTAAGGTGTTCAGGAACCAAGTGAAACTGCTTGGTTGCCAAACTCTAAATATTGTGTTTGTTGCTTTGTGTTTGAAACCTGCAATTGTGTTTTCTTTTTTTTTCTTTTTTTATTCATATGTATATATATTTGTGCACCAAGGAGGAGACCTGCATGGTTGTTGTTGGGCATGTAAAATAAAATAAATAAAAATCACTGTTTCACTAATTAATTGTTTTAAGTGCTTTTATCACCCACATTGAAGGACCAACTAGCCCAAGTACATACCCCTTAAACAATGCCTGACCGGGTCACTTTTCTAGAATACAATATGTTTGTCCAGAAAGCCCTAGCAGACAAATACCCTATGAGATGGTGTAATGAGACAGTGTAATGAAATGAAATGGATTATAACTTACATTAAACATTTTTTGTGCCATTGCCATCGGCAGCAAACAGATGTAAGAATAAAACCAAGAGCTGCCACAAGAACTTGCCAGCTGTTAAAACATATATATAGACCATAAAGAAAACACACATTCAAGCAACTTAAATAAATATATACATACATCAAATAGCATAATATTCTATGGCTGCAAAAAACAAAAGATATGACACTGGGAGCTAGCGATGCTGTCCGTCTAGACATCCTTATTTCCAAAGAAAACATAGGTGCTACAATGTACTCAAATCTCAGTAATACCGGACCCCGTTAATATGAATACCCCGCTATATAGACAACATCTTTGGGAACGAACTGGGTAAATACATGCGTTTTTGTCTCGTTATTATAGACTACTTACAATATAAACGCTTTTGTAGAGGACTGGAGGTTTCCATATTGACTAGACATTTCATTTCATTTTCATTTATTTTTCCCTCAGGGCCCGAGGGCATTACAGAGGGGAGTGGGTTACATAATATAAAGTAAATCTAAGATATGCACATGAAACAGAACAAGAAAAATAACAATAGGTTAGTCAAATTCTGGAATATAAATATTGGCAATACAGTTTTTAAACGCCACACCATCGGAAATCGATACCGCAGAGGCTGGAAGGTGGTTCCAGTCAAGAGTGGTGCGAGGTATGAACGAACTATGAAAAGATGTAGTTTTACACGAGGGTACGTCCATTTTATGTTGATGATCGAGACGTGACGAGATGTAAGGTGCATAGAAGTTACGTAGTTCAGTTGTACTGTGCCACCCTTTTCTTTGCAAGGGTTGCACGAGGGCCGCACCTGTCGCTAAACTTTTGACCGGATTAAAAGGGCTCTAGCTGCGTAGCACGTCACTTAGCGCAAACAAGCAATTGCCAGTTGTATTTTTTTTCTCCTAAAGTTAGAGCCTAATCAAAACTATAGCGTGGTGGAAAGTGCCCACGTGGACTTCCACCTAAACAGTAAATTTGGTGCACTTCGATGTCATGTCCGTGAAAAGTTGAAAAAGTGCCAATGTTGTGTTCACTCTAACGCTGTTGCAGAGTGTAAGTTGTCTTAGTACAAGAGTCTGCATTTCTTCTACCTTTCAAGGCTGTCTTCATCTCGGATTCTCCCACAAATGTGGCCTAATAGGATACTGCAACAGAATTCTAGTGCCGATATTATTGTCTAAATGTCAACCACGTCCTGGTTACACGACGGAGACACCAATCTTTTGCTCGAAAAGACACCGAAACATCATTTAAAATGAATAAACTGAATGACATTACGTCACTCTGAACTTAAAAGCAGTGCCGCTCTGCGGAAGCATGGCTGCAAGCTGCGCGAGTGTGAGCCATGTCGAGCTTAGCCGTACCAGATTTCCCTTCCCTCCTGTGCCTAATTCAACTCCTGCGGGAGAGGCAGGGAGGGGCAACTGAAGTGGCTGGGTTAATATGCGCTAACACCACTGGAAGCTGGCATGGTTGTGGCAAAGCTCACAACCATGCCAGCTTCCATGTAGCCTTGGCCGCGAAAGAAAACACGACGTCACGAATACGATGCATCTCAGAAGCTCCCGAGACGCATTACAACCTGACCATTTTAGCTGCCCCTCCCCGCTCCCCGCAGGAGTTGAACAGGTACGGGAGAGGAGGAAAATCCGATTTGACCAAGTTCGACAGGGCTTGCGCACACACACACATTGCCACCATACTTCCGTGGAGCGGCGCTACTTTTAAGTTCAGAGTGACGTAACGACATTAGGTTTATTCTTTTTAAATAATGTTTTGGTGTCTTTTTGAGCAAAACATTGGTGTCTCCGTGGTGTGGCCAGGACGTGGTTGATATTTAGACAATAAAATAGGCGCTAGAATTTCCCGCCCTTAGTAGTGATGATTTATTGGTCTAGGAGTGCAAGAAAGTGAAATATCTTACCAGAAGTGGAGGATTGCAGTCTACACAAAGCAGCATGCGATAGAAAAGATTAAAAGATTTCAACGAAGAGACAATTAAAACAATAGCAAGCAGGAGTGGGCTGCGAAGATGGATGGCATCTACACATAGCTTGCATGTGATGTCATTCACTGCCATGCCAGTATTTTATGCGCTGCGAGCGTTTGGTTTGCCATGTTAGTTATTTGCACACTGCAGAAGCTCTAGTTCGAACAAACCAGTCAGTAGAAATAACAGTCAGTGGCGGTCACTTGCAAGCAATGTTTATAATTACCGGGCAGGAACATATCGTACGTCTTGGATTCCCATTTTTTAAGTTATTTCAGGTACAAGAACTTTCCTCTGAATGACCAGCAAGGTGATCATTAAAACTGATGCTGTTTTCATTTCAAATGTCTAACAGCTATACTACTGTTTCATTTTTAACCCATTCGCTACCAAAGCAGGCGAATCGCCGGGCGTGCCGTCGGGCCATATTGCCAAAGCCGGCAATTTGCCAGGCTGCATATATTTCTGTTTTAAAAAGCCATTATAGATGGCGCACTATGTAGACTTGAAGTCTTGGTGTAGTGTAGTTAGATACATTGCCAAAAGATGGCCGTTCTGTTCAAAGTGTTTGTTTGAGCTTGTTCTTGTGTGTCGTCTTTCCTGCTCGATCGCTGTTTAGTTGGAGAAGATGGCAGCATCGAGTAGTCAGCGTGGCCTTTCTGACATGAAATCAAAGATGTTTTCTTTGACAGAGATGATGACAGGACGTCTGGTAAGGATAGCGACTTCTCTGAGCCTTCTGCTGACGACGGGAGCGATTTCGACAGCAGTTCTGAGTCAGAATCACAACAAGATAGCCCTGGTTGTGTGATGCCTAAGCGACAGAGAATGGAGGAATTGACCTGGGCTGATGACGACACTGCCTAAAAAGTTAGGAAAATCACCTTTTCTGGATCTGCAGGACTCAAGCGGCGAATTGATGCAGCCCAAGACGATAACTGCTCTCCTTTGGAAATGCTGAACGCGTTCCTTGAAAAATATGTTTGGGAACTGGTGACGGACTATACAAATGCCTTTGCAAGGAAGAAGCAGTGCACTGAGCCAGAACCAGCGTGGCTTCCCACGACACCAGGAGAGATCAAAATCTACACCTTGTGCATCTTGATGAGCCAAGTGAAGAAAAGTTCCATAAACGCCTACTGGTCAGAAACGAGCATGATCAGAACCCTGTTCTTCGGGCCAGTGATGCAGTGGAAGCGCTTTTAGATGCTATCGAAGAACCTTCATTTGTGCGATGTGGAGGCAACGGGGACAGACGACAGGCTTTGTAAGCTGCGTCCAATCGTCGACCACATACTCAAAGCATTTGTAAGTGCTTACCCTGCTGATGAGAACCTCGCCGTGGATGAGAGCTTGATGAAGTTCCGTGGACGCCTGGCGTACGTCCAGTTCCAACCCTCTAAGCGTGCTTGTTTCGGAATCCAATTTTACACTTCGTGAATCTTCCAGTGGCTACTGCCTCAACTTCTTCATTTGCACAGGCAAGGAGAAGAAGTCACATGCGACCACTTCAATGCTATGCAGTGAAGCAATTGTTAAAGACCACCTCGAAAACCGTCTACGTGATGGACATACCACTGACTTGGACAACTGGTATTCCTCACCGCATGTCTTCCTGGCCATCAAAAACGGTGGATCCAATACTGTCGGAACAGTCAGAACCAACAGGAAGAATATGCCTAAAGATATGAAAGCACTGCCATTCTCACGTGGCATCATGGCTATTCAGTGACAGGTTCGAAAGCCTGTTACTATGCTTTCAACAAGTTACAGTGCAGCTGACATCACTGAAACTTTAAAGAGACGACACAGGAGAAACGAACCAGTACTGAAACCTCTAGTCGTGCAAGAGTACAACAAAGGAATGGGAGGTGTCAACCGGCAAGGCCAGCAGCTTGCATCATTTCCGATCATGCATCGCTACGCAAAAGGATACAAGATTTTCTTCTACGTCCTTGACATCGCTGTGTACAATGCCTACAATCTTCATGCGAAGAAAACAGGAAAACGAAAAAGCTATAGTGACTGGAAAGTGGATCTCTCCAAAGATGTTATTAAGAAGACAGCTATTCACGGATGCCGGAGACGAGGAAAGCAGCCTGTCGAACCGTCCCCTATGCGCCTTGAGGCCGCAGAGTGGGCACACTTCCCCCGTCAGATTTCGCCGAATCCCGTCAAGCGAAACCCATCAAGGCAGTGCGAAGTGTGCAAGGCACAAGGCAAGAAAAGTAAAAGTCGATTGGAGTGAGAGAAGTGCGGCGTAGCTTTGCACAGGCTCGAGTGCTTCAAGATCTTTCATACAAGGAAAAATCTTTGAATGCCTAGTGATTTGTAGACTCGATGGAACCACTTAACCATGTAAATAAACACGTTTTCTTGTTTTATGCAGAGTTTTACTGCAAAAGCTTCTTATACAAGTCAAGCAGTCACGGCTAGAGTGGCCCCGATTTGGGGAAAAAACGTGCGGTACGGACGGCCCAGCAGCGAGCGACACACACGATAGCCAATGGGTTAAACGATATTTATTTTGGCACCCGTTTCCACTTACTAACGAGGCTAACAAATACTCATTCCCTATTTCCCACCATGAATGGCCAAGAGCGCGCGTGCATAGCTGGAAAAGGAAGCGGCACGGCACGAAGCGAAAGATGAGCATCAGCGTACGACATACAAGAAAAAAGAAAGGATTGTTGCTTACCTTTGGAATATGGCAGGATATGCAAACTTTTCTATGGTGAGGACATACTGCAACGAACCACATTATGGCCCAAAAGATTACCAAAACTGCATTGCTGCATTCGCGTTAAAGAAACAACAATATCGGAGCAAACCGATACCGCAGTCACGTTGACACAGTTACATGAACTCGTAACCCTAATAAAATATTTGCAACTAAAAATCCGAAGTACGTGCTAAACACAAGTGACGCGCAGCTTCTCTTATGGGAGGAGCTCCACTTTCTCGAAAGGAAATAAATCACCTAGTCAATGTAACATGGAATTCAATTTGCCTCCGATTATTCCATATGGACCCGCGTTGGTAACTCACCTTGTTCGTGATGAACGTAGAGCCGAAAAGCACTACGTAGAGGCTTACGAGTAAGATAGCGTTTGGGCGCAACATCGGTGCATCCCGCCTCTCCTGGACCCTGGCCGGAGCTTAAATATATTCATTTAACCACGTGCGCGTACAGAATATGCAGTCTACGCGACGAGCTCCAAGAGGCAGCCACACAGCTGCTGAGATAAACAAAAACAACGTGCTTTATAACAATGTGGCCAGACAATTTCACGATTGCGACAAAGTTAGCGAATCCGCCAGACCAGACGTGAAGGGAAATATACGCCTCGCAAGTGGGCTCATTTTCGTCCTCTGCGCATGAGAAAGGAGGCGCGAAGGCGGGAGAGGAGGTTGATGACGATTCCGGCTAAGCTCCGCCCTCGCACATGTCGGGGAGGCCGGGGGGTAAACAAACATCGGCGTCGGCCATGGCGGCCGTGCCGTAGCGGCGACCGCGAGTCTTTTGTTTATTGTAGCCCGGTTAAAATTTGCCGAGTCCACAAGATCGAGCAGCTTTGTGCCCCTTACGATTCCTCCGTCGTCTGCTAGAAGCATTTCGAAGATTCCAAGATGAAGACGACGAAGAGCATCAAAAGAAGGCGCTTGCCTAGCGTCGCGATTGAAACGCCGGTTGCGCCGGTCACTACGAGACCGCCGCCCGATTGTATTGGTAAGTTGCCTTTTATCTTGTTCTTCCTTTACGAACACAACAGATTTTGCCTTCTAGCAGGTCTTTAGAAATCTTTGTGGCGGAGTCGATAGGCGCTATTAATCGAAAAACAGCCGAGAATGTGGTGTTTTCGCGATCCTCCGAAGCCCATTTTCGCAGGTGATATTTATGAATTTCGACTCGAAACTGCACGGAGGCCGTATAAACTATGTTCCGTTTCATTTTAAATGCGATCGAAGTTAAATCTACATGGGCGAGTCCCGAGCTTTGATCATAGCTGCCATGTGCGATCTTGCAGTGCGTTCTCGCGTTTGTAATTTTCTCTTCGTTCGCACTTAGATGAGACGCAGTATAGTCATACATCGTGTTTGGTATAGTAGTTTCAGTCTACGGTTGTAATCATGGCACTGTAGAAAAGCACAGAGCCCAAAACTTACCACAAAAACGCGATCGTTTTTTTTTTTTTCTTTCAGGAATGAAGTTGGAATGGCTGTTACGTGTAATACAGTGAACCAACTCGGACAGTACAAATTTGCCGTTTCACATTACTCAGTTTGAGTGAATTGCCAACGAAGTACCGATGCCACCTTTCTGCAAAATGTGTTGCGCAGTGTATCTTCGAACCACATCGACGCTGTCAGTGTCTGACGTGTTTTTGTGTGTCGCTAGTCTCCTTTTTCGTTCCCATACCAAGATGAAAATTCGGATATCGTGCACTATCCAAGCCTAGCTAATGAGCGCCCCATGGAATTGACACGGGAGTAAACAATGGCTAACATGTACATATTTTTGTTTTGTTCGCTCAGCAGACTGGGACTGAGTGTGTAAGTGACAAACTTTCTAACATCATTTGTCATTTCTAGGTCCCAGATGGGCTGTTGACATCCAGAAACACTCCAACAGATGGTGGACATACAGCGATTGTGAAGAATGTGAAGACAGTCCCATTTGGATCCACATTCCTAGTCCACTCATTGATAATCTTTCCTTGTTGCATCAATGCCCAAGCATGCCAGGCACCGAGTGACTACTCGCATGTGTTAGTGATGGTGGCTTGCGAGGCTTCAGTATTGTCGCTGCAGATAGGGCTCACCCTCACACCAATGCTGTTTGTGGTGCACCTTTCCATGGAATTGTTTGGTTGATCCCAATTTCCTAGAAACGCCAATATTCAGTTTGGTGTGCCTTGCGGCTGAAGTAGATTCATCAAGGAGGTCTCGTCTCTTTCCTGGGGGTAATACCATGTCAGCTGCTTTGCATGAGCCACTTGGAAACTGTTTGGACTGCTCTAAAGCACTTGTAATTGACTTTACCTGTTGTGTCCATGCTAATGCTGAAATGTAAAGTTCACTGAACCAAGTTTTACTAATGAACCAAAACAATCGGTGGAAAGGATGAATGGCTTTATTTGTTTTCTCGAAGTATACACTGTTTCATACATGATGCTGGCAACGCTACTTTCATTAGCAGACAACTCAGTCTACACTCTGTTTCACGATAGCTTGGTGAACTGTGGAGGCTACGGCTCCTGCGACCCAGTAAGAATGTCGGAGCGAGGCACATGGCAGCATGTCACAGGAGCGTCCGTGTCACCGCGCCAAATGCAAGGACCACCCACCAGAACCGGCTGTCGTATGCTCAGAAACCAAACGAATTCGGATGGACGTCCACTGCAGCAACATTACCGTCCGCTAGAGTTGCGAGGTCTTCAGTAACACTTTTATGAGGCAACCACATGCTCAATTTGCCCATGAATCTGTTGCGGGTGCTAATGCTAGGGCGATGTTTTGAGCGGAAGTGGTCGATTCAAGGCTACGATTGTTTGAACGTCAATCACAAGCCATGTTTTTCTCAAAAGTGTTGATCTATATTAAGTGTCGTTAATAAGTAACATATGTCTTAGTCTTTCTTCAGTGTCGTGTAGTGTTGCGATCCGAAGAATTCGACGGCAACACTACTAAAAGAAGGAGAAAAAAAAAAAAAAAAAGCCTAGAACTATGTTTTGTCGCAGATGGCGCTCTTGCTGTGGCGATAACGAGGACTCGACCGTGGAGTGTTGTCATGTGCCTGGCTCCGATGCTCTTATTGGGTCGCAATGTTTGCCAAGTGACCATGAAACGGAGTATAGTGTCTCACCTGTACACGCTATAAAAGAAATGAGATGCCAGGTGTAGTCACTTTTGCAGCTGTAGCCCTTATATTATTGCTTGCTATGCTGTTTGGAAGAATACATAAAAAAATCAGCTTACAAAGCCAAGTCTAATTTTTTGCACTCTTGCATGTTACGAAAATAAAAGCATCACGCCTGAACACCAACATCTGTCTCTAAATTATTCCTTGCTGAAATGAAAAATAAATATACTGTGAATATGAACCAATACAATCTCAAACAGGTTTAAGAATGGATTCAATAAACAATTACTTCAATCTGCAAGCTTGAAATAAAGTAAGCGTGTGCAATAAATACACTGGTCTTTCGACTATCCCCCGTTGACACTTGTTCTCGAAGGATAGGGACTTCGTCGATTTCACGGCAGTTCAAGCATTGGTCAGGCAACATGCTCGTGTTTATAGTTTCGGCTGTGCTACAGGAATAACAAAGGTGAGTTGTGTATTGCCGAGTCAAAGCAGAACTCTCAGGTGTAAAAGGCTTCTTAAAAATGCACTAAAGCTGGTTTTGACTTTATAATTACATGACTCGAACACAAACTACTCACTTCACCAAGTCTAAGGATTCACAAATAATCTGTGAACATGTATTCTGCTTTTATCTTCATTCACTTATGAAACTGGTTGCGTATATAAAATATCCAATCAATCTTCCACACCTCCCCATTGCGAAAAGAAAGAGGGAGATTCGTTGGCTTTTTTTTCTCGCCAAAAAACAGAAAAAGAAAAGGAATAGGTTTCAATGTGCACATTACGTTGAAGTGGGACAGTTACGGAAACAAATTTTGCATCTTCAAAGTTCATGAAGTAGGCAGATTACTTTCAAGTCATAAGAGAATAAAGTCAGAAACAACTTCAGCTCGCCTTCAATCAGATTTTCCCTTTAGATCCAGGGACATTTCACCTTCATAAGGTCATCAGTAGCAATTGGCATCCATTTAGGACTCTGTAATGGTAGATGTCCAAGCTTGACCTCAAAGTTGCAGTGCCCTCCTTTCATGTGCTTGCAGTGCGACCCCCTCGTGCACTTGGTCCCAGACGGTGAAGCTGGTGCTGGACAGGATGTCGTCCCCTGTAAAAGAGTCGTCCCAGTAGTCAAACGATCCGGTTACACCCTGAGCAGCATATTTGTCCTCCCATGCCATTACAAACTTAAAATCAGTGAAAACCTATTTTGAAGCAACAGAATGCATAAATGAACATGTCTATTCCATTCCCTTCGTACCGAACACCTGCCAGAATCCAAGGGATGCAAATCAAAATAAATAACATTGCATTATTTGCTCTTTTGAGACTCGAACTTAAACCAACTCAAACACTACCACAATTTTAAAGCTGGGAACTTCGAGGACACCTCTCCATATACTGAGATTACATGCTTGTCCCACTCCTGGCTTGTCCTCAGCAGGGTTGGCCAGCGTGTTCTCATACTCCTGGGTTTTTAGTCTTGGAAGTTGAAGCTTTGGTTTTTGTCATTGCTTGGTTGCTGGTAGATGCTGGAGGAAGCTCGTACTGTTACTTTGAAACATCAAGTTTACAAATTGAGCACTAACCCATACTGATGGCCAGATACAGAAGCTAGATTTGTCATGTCAAGGAGGTTGTCATAAAACAGTGGGCACGGGACTGAAATTAGCGGCGGAGCGGGCGACCGAGGCGCATTCGGGAGTATCGAAGAAGACAAGGTGTGTGAGTTTTGCGCGAAGGCAGGATGATCGGCCAGATGTGAGAATGTGGCGTCGAGAGAACTTCAACCGGGCTGACTTCATGACTGTTATCTGAGCCACATTAACCAGAAGAGAAGAGAGAGTAACAAGTGAACGACGCACTACGGCCGAGGAGGTAATTGACCAGGTTATTTCACCCAAGCACCACAGTAGTCATTTCAACGACGAAAAAAAAAAAACGTCCAAACATCAGCACAGCAATACCAGCAGCGTGCCGAGGAATCGGGTTGTGTGTATATTTATACAGTCTCAAACTCAATCTGCCTCGACGGGCGATGACTCTCCCAGCTGTAGATGACCGCTAGCCTGGGGCCCTTAACGTGCATCACGTAGTAGTGATACACGACCGCACGCCGGTACAATGCTCTTCCAGATCGAAACGGGCAAATGTGGGGCTTGAACACACAATCCTGGGTTCTGCAGCGCGAGCTTTCACTCCACATTCTCCGAGCTGGTGCGTGGAAGCCCCCTCGGCCACCAATCCCTTGGTGCCAAGGAATAACATATAATAAATGACAACGGTACAGTCGTCTGCAACAGGTAGCTTTTCAGTGCCTTGAGCAACCAGGTTGAGATAATGTGACACTTTCCTGCCATATGTGGCTTGCAAAATAGAGATGTATAAGTCATAAA